GGTCAGAACACACACACACACACACACACACACACACACACACACACACACACACACACACACATGGTCAGAACCAGAACACACACACACACACACACACACATGGTCAGAACACACACACACACACGCGCGCGCTCCAAGCCAATCTCCACAACTTCAGCTCGCTGTGCACATATGCGCTGACAGCGAGCTGCGCTGAGCAGTGTCCAGCTCAGATGTTCAGGTGGGAATCTTTTCTTGAGTGATTTTGCTACATCTGCGATGTGCGTAGAATAAAATGTCAGTTCGTCTGCATGCGTCGGGGTAATTCTTTCTATTCTTTCCCCGTCAAAATAAATGGTCAAATACGGGAACTGTCCGGTCAACACAAGCCCTGCTTTTAACTGTTCTGTTTTCTTGTGAAAATAGATCATATTAAACTTGATTAACACCAGAGCCAGGCGCACTGCGCCGTTATCTCCGTCACTGTAAATGAGGGAAAAACAAATTGATCGGATCCTTTTCTGACCTTCCCCACCTACAAAGTTTAATTACAGCAATCAAACGTGACAGAGCCTGGATTTGTATTCTGAACAGTCTAAACATGTTTTAAAAAGAAACGTATGACAAAAGTGGCACCTGCTCAGTAAAACCACCAACAGGGTGAAAAATATCAAAATATTGTAGGCAGAGACGGGCTACAACTTCTGGATCCATTTATATAAATAATTTTATTGATTATCGTCTTATGAAAAATAACTTTGACGTACACGAGCGACCGGTATTGACTGCTGTCACCAGTTGTGAGCAGCGCTCTGCTGTCTGAGGGTAGGCCCCGCCCACAACGCCACGGCTGCTGTGGCTCTCAGTGGTTTCTTTACTGTGGGAAATGGGTAATAATGGCTCTTTGATGGGAACAGGTTGCTGACCCCTGGCCCTGGTTTAAGTGTTTCAATTTTTTTTAATGAATTCGATTAAAAATAAAGGCGCCCGGCCCGTGTCCGAGGTAATTACACAGTCGTTGGCCCGAAGCCCGGCCCGACGGCCCTCGGGCCGGGCCGACCCGAGGGCCTAGGGCTTCACTGTAGGGCTGTAGTGAAGGGGGAGCTGAGCCAGAAATCCAGGCTCTCGATTTACCGGTCGATCTACGTCCCAATCCTCACCTATGGTCATGAGCTTTGGGTAATAACCGAAAGAACGAGATCGCGGATACAAGCGGCCGAAATGAGTTTCCTCCGTAGGGTGGCCGGGCTCAGCCTTAGAGATAGGGTGAGGAGCTCGGACATTCGGGAGGGACTCGGAGTAGAACCGCTGCTCCTCCGGATGGAAAGGAGTCAGTTGAGGTGGTTTGAGTATGAGTTCCTTAGCTGATGTCCAGGTGCCAGGTTATGACATCTCCCTCATGCCTCTACATCAGGGGTGTCAAATTCTGGTCCATGGGGGCTGGTGTCCTGCATCTTTTAGTGTTTTCCCTGTTCCAACACAGATCATTCACCTGTGCAGCAGATCATCAAACTCTGCAGAAGCCTGTTAATCAACTGCTGACTGAAATCAGGTGTGTTGAAACCGGGAAACGCTAAAACGTGGGATTACGTCCCTTTGAGGACTGGAGTTTGACACCCCTGCCCTGAATACTCCTAGCAACCTTTCAGAAGGTATTTGGCATCTCCTTGCTGTGAGCTGATTTTACTCAGCCACCTTCACACAAAAATACACACAACATCCTATTATTTTTCTGAAGGTCATGACACAAGAGCAGACAAAGCACATGTTAAGGCTGAATTTCATTTGGTAAAAAGTCTGATCAACAACTTTCTTATGTCTTAGAACATTGACTTCTTTGTGGGCGGGCACCACCTATGATGAGCCCTCCCACAAGGTAGTCATGGTTATAAGAGACGACCAAATCATCATGGTTCTATTTTGGAGCAAATTAGCCTCTTGAGAAACAGAAAAATGCCCTTATAGAATCTCCTGCTGGGATCATACATAATTCAGTTAATATTTGAAGTTTATTTTTTATGACCAAAAAGCTACTACCCTACTGTATAACTGAAATATTATATTGGACCAACTTCAATTCTTGCGTTCTTGTTGACAATTATTAAGTTCATGTAACTTAGGAATGTGTTTTAATGTGGCCAAAAAGTTACTTCAACATACATGAATATTATGTTGGATCAACTTAAATTCTTGCATAATTGTTGACAATTATTAAGTTCATATAACTTAGGAATATGTTTTAATGTAGCCAAAAAGTTACGTCAACATACATGAATATTATGTTGTACCAACTTAAATTCTTGCGTAATTGTTGACAAGTATTAAGTTCATATAACTTAGGAATGTGTTTTAATGTAGCCAAAAAGTTACGTCAACATACATGAATATTATGTTGTACCAACTTAAATTCTTGCGTTCTTGTTGACAATTATTAAGTTCATGTCATTTAGAAATGTGCATTGTAGTGGCCAAATGGCAACTTCACCATACTCAAAAATATTGCGCTGATTTAAAGTAATTCTGCCAGAAGTTGGTTTAACTTAAAAATTCTAGTGGAAAACGTTAACAACTATTTTTTTGTTGAACCAATGCTTTATTTTTTAGAGTGTGCCGAGCTCCTTAGACATAAAGGCAAAAGTCTGTAGTGAGGTATCATTCAGGCTTTTAGTAACATCATCAACCCCTGCCACCTTCAGGGACTGAGAGAGGGCAAGAGCCAGTTGTGAAAAAGAGTTACCCAGATGAGCAATTCAAGCTGCCATGTCATAGCTCTTGGTACGAGAGTTCATCAGTGACCCTGCACATTCATCGGTGACCCTGCAAGGAGGACGTGGACAACTGTCATCTGGACGAGTAGCATCAGCTGGTGTTTCTACCAGCCTGGCAATAACACTATCCACAGAGGGCATATGGTCCATGTCATACTTAGCTGCATCCTGCATGAAGCTAAGAGCCCTACAATCCTGTGGGACACAGGTAGTAGATCTGAAGTCCAACCAGCATCGGTAGAGTTCCTCAATGTAGGGTTGTGAGGTTGGCACAATGAAAGCTGGCTTCTGAGCAACCTAAAAAAAAATAAGACTAGAAGCAGTGGTATCTACAGGAAGATTATCAATGCCAAGTCGGGAGAATGCCAGTTGAAAAGTTTGCTTTACGAAGAATAAACCAGGTTCAGCCTTCAACAGGGAGTCCTGTTCTGAAATGCGAGAGCCCGCTACTGAGGGGCTCGAGGAGCGATCTTCAACCTCTTGTTCCTCCGTGTAACTGGTGTCTCTGTCCCTGAACAAGTAGTCAGAAGCAGCAACAGAGATTGAGTCAACCCCCCTTACTCCAGTGTCTGGGGGGTTGGTCGGGTCAGCGTGGCCATCAGAGAAGGGGGAAGGAGGAGTTATGAGGTTACTGGGTTGAAGAAGCAAGAACTTAATCTGAGCAACCTCGGAAGCAAAGGTATCGACCTTTGCGGACAGGGCATGGTCTTGGCAAACTTTCTTAGCTGAGGTGGCTTCAGCATGTGACGATGCTTAGCTACCTCCCCAGGACTGGAGGCCAGGTTTCCCTGAGGCATCCTGCTCTCAACCAAAGCCAGCCTTGCAGATCTCTTTGCATGCAGGCACAGACAACACAGGCTTCTACAGTGAGGGCTTCCCTCAAATGTCCAATCCCAAGACAGAAGGGGCATAACATGTGTCCATCATCTGGGCCCAACACGGCCAAGCAGCTGCCACAGCTGTTCACCAGCGATGCCATGGTGCACACACACACACAGCTGCTGGGGTTAACCACCACCACCAGGCAACAACGCAACATTCTGGGGTGAAGGCTGCTCGCCGTCAAGCAAAGATACAAGGCACGGAGCGAAGAAAACGCTCACTGCCGAACAGTGAACACGGCACGGATGCAAACCACTTGCCTTCAGGCCATAACACAAGGCACCAACTGCTGAACGACACAAGCAGGTGAACTTGCACACTAGCACAAAGCGGGAGACTTGCGGCGCCTAATGGGAGTCAGGCCACATCTCGCTGCCTCTGGAGGACGTGGAGACATGCAACTCCAACCAATGGTTGTGAGGCTACAGGCGAGAGCGACAAAATATCCAGATTGTTTCCAACTGAACCTCTGCACAAAGTGAGAATTTTATTTTTATTTATTTAACCTTTATTTACCCAGGAAAAAAATCCCATTGAGATTTAAAACCTCTTTTTCAAGGGAGTCCTGCAGCAAACATCACACAAATATACAAGACAAAATTTACAATTTAAGAATGGAAAAAAAGGACTGATTACTGGTGGTGTGGGGTATATATAGACTTCCACCACGTCACCAAGTCATGTCCAAGGGTGTGACTTTGTTGGTATATTGTCTCAACCTCTGTGCTGTGCACACGCAGATATCCTGGTGCTTTGCACCGTTCTCTGGCAGTCAGAAGGAATTAAATAGAACTGAAAACCAGAAAAGTAAAAAAATGCAGCGAAAATCCCCCTAAAACAATAAAGGGTGAGAAAATTATGTTTCTGAAATGTTTGTTTCTGCTTTTTGAGATCTTTTAGCCCATGTTGTCATACAAGTACTGATGAAGTGATTTCACACTTAATTAATGATTCAGTTGCTTTTACACACAGAGCAAAGGCTGTTTGGATGACATTTTTGTCTTAATAAATTAAATTATTTCTTATTTGCATTCTGTATTTCCTCTGTTTTATTTTTCTGATGTGTATATTTGCTGATCTGAAATATTTTAAAGACAAAAAACACAAGAAATTTGTGAGGGCATACGTTCTCACAACTCAGTATGTTGCTGCTTGGTTGTTTAGAGCTAATTTCCTCAACATTTGTAGAAATTTGAAAAACTGGTAAAAGAAAATAACTAAATTCCCTTTCCTCACTCAATTACCCTTTGTGCGAATTTCAAAGAAGTATGTGGCAATTTAGCATTTGCAAATTAACCCTTTGTTAAGAAAATAAAGAGTAAATTACCTTTCCGTACTCAGGATTTAATTTTAAAGAAAACATCAGTCTGAATGTAATTCGATTTTTATTTTGCTTGAAACATTTGCAATGAAAGTTCTGTAAAAAAAAAAAATAAGATATCTAACAGCACACCAAAGGAAAAATTGCAGTTCTTGTTGACCAAAGGACTCAAACAGAATGAAGAGTTCTTCTAGCAGCACTGCAAATGGCAAGAGTCTGATTCTTCTTCGTTTTGGTCCCCTTTAGCAGCCGAGCGAATGTGTCGTTGATTTATGGAAAGCCTTTTTCTACTTGATGTGGACACATTTCCTCCCGGAGGCCTTTAACCTCACATTCCCTTGAGCACCAGTCACAGACCTAACAGAATAGCACATTATCTCTGGCTGTGTTCAAGTAAGACACATTGCAGCATTTGGTAAAAGTCCAGTGGCAGCACTTGGCTAGGTAAGTCTTCAGCGAAGAGCGAAAAGTGAAAAAAGGGCACAAAAACATGAAAGAGGAGCTGAGAGTCCCTCTAGAAATGCCAGTTTAAATCCTCAAAGTCTCCAGGTTGACCCATGTTTATGTCCGTCTCCAGCAGGCTCACAATTACCTCCATGGTCGCCTCGTCGCTGCTGAAGCTGCTCAGTCCTGGAACAAACATGCTCTCCATGTCCTCTGCAAGCTGGATGGACTCACCTGGGTCAAACCAAACACCACAAAGGAGTACCTAAAGTCATGCTGATGATCTGTTTCCAAGTATGACACATAAACATTTAGTTTGAGTTTCCCCCACTGAGGTCTAATTTCTGATTTACATATTAAAGAGTTTTCAGTGATGAAAATCCAGCTGGTCTTACCTGTGCCCTCAGACATCACAGCTCTAGCATCAGCTGCTGTCCTCGAGTCCGTCTGGGTCTCTGAAGAGCTGCCTGCTGCCTCCTCTCGACTGGAAGCCTAAAAAATAAAAAAAATTAAAAGAGACAAATATTTAATGAAATGTTGTTCAAACCTGCTGATGAATAACAACTCACTGCCTTTGCAGGGTCACTCACGCTCCTGCTGCTCTCTGGGCATTTCTCCTGGACAGAACCAAACGGACTTGAGGCTCCGCTTGAAGGAGATGAGTTTGCTCTGCTAACACATATGAGGGAAATCTCTAAGTCTCCAAAGAACTTATGTTCAACGTAGTGAAGCAATCTGATTTAAATCTAACTGTAGTTTTAAATTATTGTACCGTCAGAACTATGACTCGTTTTATTTTGTTTGTTTTTTAATCTAAAAGCGTAACGACAAACAATGTTAACAGACTTGTGTGGCTTGCGATTAGACATGAAACACACGTTTTCATTTCTATGAAGATGACGCGGCCATTTTATCTTTGGGCAACATGGCAGCGAAGAATCTACCACCAGGGAGAATTATGATTAGAAGAAAGAAATACAAGTATGTAGTGTGGACATTAAAATAAAAATGTTGACAAAAGAGTAAATATACAATCTCTATTAAAAAAAACTGTCATGCAAAAATGTATACATTTAATATAGACATCATCTACCTGCTTCAGTATCCACAGCAGAACTAAGAGTTTTTTTATTCCTACACAATAAGAGTCTCAACATAGATCTGGGGCTTATAAAGATATGTAAATACTGTTGTGTGATAAAACTCAGAGAACAGATCATACCTGTAGGACTCGATGAACTCATTGGCAATTTGTGTCCCGATGCTGCTTGCGTAGATCATTGTGCCCACTCTACGGGACAGGCCAGGAATTTCTGGTATTTGCTTTGTGTCCTCTGGTAGAAGCAGAAAAAAAAAACATATATACACACACACACACACACAAACACACACACACACACACACACACACACCACTGCACTAATTTCTTACCATGGAGTGATTTAGTGCTGCCAGCCTCCTCTTCATGTTTTGTGTGAGCAGGCCCCCTGTTGGTGTAAGGGAGGATTTTCACTCATTTAACTGAATTATTAAAATGTATTGGTACCACTTTATGATAAGCCTCTCCATATAAATGACTAATAAATGGTTTGTAGACATGTCATCAATGTCCCCAGCCTCCTGGTTTCCATCTGTGAGGGTAGTTAGTGTTTTTCCTTAGCTCCCTGATTTTAGTTGAGTGAATTGTTCTTTTTAGCATTTCATTTGTTCCCCACTGTCTTGGTTTCTTCTGCTACGTCACCTGTGCTAGTTTATTTTCAATTTGTTATCTTACAGCTCTTTAGTTCTCCCAGTGTTACTCTTTAGTTCTCCCAGTGTTAGTTTCCCACAGTACTCTTTGTTTAGGAGTCTCACCCATCCCTGGTCTCTCCCTCAGTCTTATTTAAGATTCTCATTCTTCACATATTTTTGTTGGTTCCTTGTTGTTGTTCCAGTTTTGTAAATTCTGGATTATCTCTATTTATTTATTTTGGTTTAGTTTAAAGTCTAGTGCCTGACTGCCTCTGGATCATTCAGGGGTTGGGTGCTCACCATCACAGCGTTCTGACACTTGATAAATCGGTGTTTATTTGGCATTAACTAAGGGCGAGAAAGAGAGAACAGATATGACTTATGACTTATCTTTATGCTTTCTAAAAGTGTTTTTCTCTCCAGAGAAGCTACACAGATGTTCTGCTGAGCAGTGATAGTCGGGCCATCTGCTAGTACACTGCTGCTACCCACTAGATATTCTCCCTCTCCTGAGTTTACCTCCTTATCGTCTTTAACACAGAATGTACTACTACTAGTTCACCAGTTTATTTTGTGTGCATCTGCTTTGTCTTCTCAAACATCCACCCAGCTTTAGTCCGTGAGGTAGACACCTTGTCTACTTTTAAGACTAGGCTTAAAACATTTTTATTTGATAGGGCCTATGGTTAAAATCTGATGTTAGCCTAAATCTGGACAAGTGGGGGAGTAGAGGGAGGTTGAGTGTAAAGTCGGTAAAGACGGCTCTCCCTTGCCCTGCCTCCAACATGCCTCCATCTAAAAGGCTAGGTTATCCAGAGTTATCTCTGTAGTTATGCTGCTATAGGCTTAGACTGCATTTCACATTGTTTACACGCAGCCACTATTCGGGTTTTGATTGGTTTTAAGGTCAGTATTCTTGTTTCTGAAAAATTTGGAATAACCCGTTCACAAACACAGTGTTTAAAAGTGTGGGTGTTGAGATTTCTCTGAGGTAAAAAAGATGATAAGTATTAAAGTACTCTAGGGGGGTCGGGGGCATGCCCCCTGGAAAAAAATTATTGGACATTTTATATTTAAACGCATCAGTCTGGTGCATTTTTGGGAGGGAAAGTAGAGTTACAGGCTGGTAGGTGTGTATGATAAAGTATCTATACGTGTTCATTATAATGATATATTTGAGTTAACAATGTTTTCCTGTCCTTTCTTAATCCATTATGAACACAGACTACAGTGAAATCCGCTGAAGCATCCATGCTGCTCAGTACCAGAACTGCACTAGATAGCAAAAGAACCAATCAGCTGGCAGAGCTCCATGTTGAACGTGTGAGCTGCAGAACTTGCAAAACTATGTGACTCAGGCCCTGTCCAAACGTAGCCGGGGATCTGCCACAGCGTAGATATTTTTCTACGCTTTGTCCTGTCATCCACACGAAAACGGAATTTTTTCACACGAAAACGGATCTTTTTAAAAAACCCGGCCAAAGTGAAGATCTGCGTTTTCTCCGTTTTGGGTGTCTGCATGTGGACAGACAAAACCGGAGTTTTAAGGTCTGCAACGTCACTTTCCGCGACAGAAAAATGCTGACATCACGTGTGCGACCTGTGTTTACACTAGCCGACAGCATGGATGCCCTCAGAGCTGCGCTCGCTTCATCAATTGTCCAAGCGCTTTTTGCTTGTTTGTTTTTGCAAGCGGAATTACTGCTCCTCGCGGAAGACCACAGACGAAGGACGAGGTTAAGAAAGGGGGAAGTACTGCCGCCTACAGGTCTGGCATGTCCTTAACAACGTATTTATCCGGGTACGTGTGGACAGAGTTTTTTTTAAACGAGGTGGTGTGGATGCAAGTTTTTGGAGGGGCGGATATTCGTTTTTAAAAAAACCCGGCTACGTGTGGACTAGGCCTCAATTTAAGCAACAAAGTAGAATCCAGCTGCTGTTATTTATTTGTTGTTGGTGTTTATAGAAACTAAATATATCTGCAGGGCTTTAGGCCCAGGGCAGAGTTTTATACCTCAGACCAGCTTTAGATCATGACCTGTTATTAATAATATCATGTTCTTTACACCAATCTGAATATTCTGTAATGTTCACAGACATCCAAACCTTAGAAATTAAATATAATCAATATTAAAATAAAACATATTAATATCATTTTTTCAATTAAGATTAGTAATCTGTTATACTTATTTATATTTGATAATAATATGATTAATAATATTTAATCTTCTAACATTTGTGGGTTTACTGCATTCACTTAATATTAATTATAAAATTATAAATAACAGGTCACTACAGTCTGGGCATAGAAAGTGTTTCTAGGAACTTACGCTTGTTCAGCAGCTCACCTGTTCCACTGATGGGAAAAATCCTCCCATCAGCAGGTGATCAGCAGAGTGTCACGACTGAACACCGGCCCGAAAAAAAACAAAGAGACGACTAAAAACGCCGAACTCAGATCGGCCCACCGGGAATTTGGGTCCTGGTTCCGCTCATCACGTTAACTCTCATTGTGATATCAGAGTTTTATTGGCTCTGTCAGAATCCCAGTGCCTGGGGCGCGCGCTGTTTATGTTTGTGCGCACCGTGGGAGCGAGCAATGAGCGTGTTTTTGCAGCTTGGGCGGTGGAGAACGGTGGAGAAATGCTTTTCAACATCGGTGCGCATTTCAATTAGCAACAGGAGAGAGCGAGCGAGAGAGAGAGAGAGAGAGAGACACTACTAAACCCAAGCGAGCGCGAGAAGAGATTTTGACGGAACTTTTTTTCTGATTATTCCAACTGACGGATTTCCGTCGCCACGACAGAAAACTTTAATCCCTGGCCTACAAACATGTTTCATTTGGCAGGCAGACAGTAACTTGGTGACTTTTGAGTGGTTGTATTTAAATTCACTTACGAGATGACCCTGTTTACAGACACGATGAACTCAACTTCTTTGGTCCATGGATTAGTGAAGCAGCACCACTGACTCTGGAGAGAAACGTAGGAGCCATATTTTGTTTTGAACTTGTAGCTCTGTGTCTCAACCTTCTCTTTGCTTCGAAGAACTGCAGAAATGCAACACAAAACAAGAAAAAGATTGATGCAAGACATTTATCTCCTCTTTGCTGTCATATGCAACATTTTCTGAGTTTTATATCACTTTCACCAGCGTTGGCTTTGCTCCCTCACCTTGTATGTGTTTCCCCGCGAGGTGCTGCAGGTCGTCCTGGTGGAAGAATTCGTAACACGAGGTGCCTAGAACTTCCTGCGGCAAATAACCGATGACTGTTGTGGCTCTAGAAAAAGACAGGATGAAGAACAAATGTAGCCACTCTGATTTTTCCCCTATATCCTCCTGCCTTTAAGGATGTTTCCCATGAAAATGACCCAAGAGCCTCTTTTGCTACGTTTAACAGCGACACATAATACATTTGGTTGACTTTACAGAACTGGTGTTGTGTAATTACTTCCCAACGAATGAGAAGAGATGTCATCGAGATGCACAGCTTCTTCTGAGAAAAGACGGCAAAGACAGAAAGGATTATCTCCATGACAGCCGATTTGACAAAAGTCACGCTCCGAGGCCTCCTCAACGTAACTCGCCTCTGCCGTTCCTTTCTCAGCTGAACCGTGCATTTAGAACAAATCCATGACTGATGTGATAAACAACAGACGGACAAAGTTAAGGAACTGGAAACTCACTGTTGATCTACAAAAGTGAACTTGCCGTCGATTGCACAACGGGTAACAAACTCGGTGGTTTTGACGTTGACGCCTTTAGGGGACTGTTGGGAAATGTGAGGGTGGAGGCGGCACATGGTCACCAGGCAGTTCAGGTTGGAGGTCTCCGTATCTGCGACGTCACCCTCCGGGTCCAGCTGGCTGCTCGGCCAACTGCGCATGTATCCGGTACAGTGGAGGGTGCAGTACCTGGAAGAGTCTGTGTGCAGAAAACAAAACTCAGAAATAAAACGCTCCACATCCCTCCCAATTTTTTAAGCTAGACTGGAGCTTCACTTTAGATCACTTTGCTTGTTTTTTTAAATGTTTTCACTGTTTCTTCTTTTTCCTCTGTGGTCTCATTGCTTTTAAAACACTTTTGATGTCCTCTGGTATTTTATTTACTATAAATAATCAGTAAAAGATGCTAAGAGAAAGGAAGATATGGGAAATTAATTTTACTGGAATCTTTTAAATTTAAAATTAAACTAAAATGTTGCTCTAAAATCTAAATACTAAAAAAAAGAGTCAAGCATTTAAATATTTCTACATAAAACATCTGGACCGCAGGACTTTTATGTCCCCACCTCATAAAGGAATTTGACAGAGTCTGGCTCGGTTTGTAGTTTTGGCCCCTGTTTAAACAGAGTTTTAGATCCTCTGTAGTCAGACATAAATCACACAAGATTTCCCGAAAACAGTGCTCCTCTGCTGAAAATGAAAATTAAGGCACCTAGAAGGTTACTGACACCTTAAATCGCAAGTGAAACCTTGCCGCAAGGTGGTGACCAACACCATGCTACAATTGTAATCAGGTTTATAGTTTAACTTTATATTGTGGCTAAGGAACATAATTACACTGTGCACGATAGTGTATGTGGTGAGCAACAAACGAAGAGTTTAAAGAGAAAGTTTGGTTGGTTTTTACTTTTTTCGCACTTTAATTTATTAGATCAGCAAACAAATTTCACTATTAGAAAAAGAAAATTAAACAAAAGTTCACTAAATAAAAATAATGTAGTTTTCTAATGATGAATTAATTAGTATAAGGGAATAAAGCTTCCTGGCCTTGCATTAAAAAGTATTTCACCCCCTTGTTAAATCATGAATTAACTGTGATTAATCATATTTGGAAAGTGAGTTCAGCTCCAGCCTTATTACTGTCAGATCTGTAGGATTAACATAAAATAACCCATCTTACAACATGACCTGTCTCTCAACCTCTGTTGAACGAAAACAACACAAACCAGTCTCATGTTTACCAACAACAGGGAGTAAGACTAACTGCATTTCAGAAAAACATATCAACAGTCAGACATGGTGGTGGTAGTTTGATGGTCTGGGGCTGCTTTGCTGCTTCAGGACCAAGGAGGACGTTAAACTCCACACCCACCTTTCTTTTTGGAGGCACCAGGCTGTGAGTGCTGGTCTTCATTTTTCCCAGCGACTCGACTGTGCTTCATTCGGCAAAAGAAGGATCGCCGAGCTCCACTGGCCAAGCGGGATGCCCTGACAGGGGTCTCCTCCTGAGCCTGGACCCTGGCTACACAAAGAAACAAAGCACCTGGGACTCACAGCTTTTAGCTCCTGTTTTAAGATTAATGCAGATTAATGATCGGGCTTACTCGATGCATCAGAGGGAAGTTGGTGAGGAAGCGTTTCAGAGGATGAAAGCTGTTCCTTCACCTTGGTGATATCTTTGGGGTGGATGAAATCAAATAAACTCTGTCCAGTTAGCTCCAACTGTGAAAAAAAAACATTAAAAAAGTTTTCATTATCAATTTGTGCGATAATAGATCAACTAAAATGATTTATTTGTTCACACACAATCAGTCATTCTTGGATATCCACACAGTTTTTTATTTTTATTTTTTATTTTGCTGTTATGGTAAAAGCAGTAAAACTGATGCACAGAATTGATGATGTTTATGTTTACTTATTTAGAAATTATCCAAACGTGGATGCAATAATGCAGGTGATTAACCTAACATGCAAACTTATGATCTGTGAGAGGGAACCAGAGTTTTCGCAGCAACAAACCTGACTGAAGTTGAGGATCTTGGAGACAGACTCAGAGATGAACAGGATTTTCGCTCGGTCACATCTTACAACTAGTAGAAATCCTTCTGCAGCCTGGTGGCAGAAAAATATAGACATTGTTAAAACATTAGCAAAAGAGAAGTAAGGTGTGAAATGGATTGTTGATTACAAATACAGGGTTAAGTTGAACTCAGGATGTGAACCTGTAAAGTTTTTCATTCAGAATGTCAAAATGTAACAGCAGAACCCAAAGAGCTACATGACAATGCAGCCACCACACACCCAGAAATAAAACACAGTAAAGGGTTAAAAAGCAGACAAATAAGACAATAAAACCATGACTAAAATGACAGGTTGCGGCTAAAACATTAACTACAAAGTCAAGCAATCAAACCACAGTAAATATAGATTAAAGGTAAAAGAATAGCTGCACAGATCAACCAATATTAAAAGCCAGGTCAAAGAGATAAGTTTGAGAGATCTGTCCAAAACGCCGTGCGGCACTCTGGAGAAAGCTCAGCATATCAGCTTTCAGCATGGTGGTGGACGGTTCATGATATGGGCTTGTTTTACATCCACAGAATCTCTGTGTACAGGCGTTTTTCTCTGATTATTCTAGTCCACAACTCATGGGAATTTGGAGTTTAAATAACATTTTACTATAAATGAACTATCGGGGTTGTAGATCAGAATATACCTTGAGCAAAAGCTGCCTAAGGTCATCATGGGGCAGGATGGAAGGCTTGCAGGTGGAGTCTGTAAAGGTACCGCGCGCTCCAGCTAAAATACACAAAAGATTTAAACTCAGCAAACAGATGTTACAGAATTTAAACCTGGGTTAGGAGTTACCTTTCAGGGCTTTCAGGTGTTGTACAGCCTTCCGCAGCACAGTGAGTCTGTCGAGTTTTTGAGCCATGGGCTGACAGGCAGGAATCATGGCAGACAGCTCCTTAATGAGATTGTTTATTTTCTCCCTTCGTCGCCTTTCAGCCTGACAGTGAGGCACCCTGTAGACATATTGTTCCATCAGTCTACAGAACTTAGAGGGAAGGGCTCATATGCACGTTCCTGACCCTTAAATCTAGTTACAGAAAAACACACAATCTGATGCTTCTACTGCAAATATTCAAGAGTGTGGAAGTTTAAAATATAAGTTAATGATAAAACTACTGTATAAGTGAAGGCAGAATATTACATTCACCGACCTAAAAACATTAAACAACCAGACAAGATTATATGAAAGAGTTTAATGATTTCTATCTACTATCAAATTAAATTAAATACAGATGTTAGCTACACTGGCACACTGGTGGTCCTTACCCGTTTGTGCTCATTGTTTCTGCTCTGGCGTTAATGTCAGCCAACACATAATAAAGTGAACCCATAACCTAATTGACTCCAGCCATCAAGACATGGTACAGGATCATATGAGTACTATGAAATCTGTACTTCATACTTCAGATTTCATGGAATTTTGTAATATTTGGTACAAAATTTCTGAGGGTTTCAACGTCAGCCCACTGTTACTTCTATTCAAGTGCTTCTAAGGACTCTACATGAATGGCAGTAAAAGAATACAATGGCACCACAATGCTAAACAAACTGGTGTTGGTAATGCCATCTAATATGCATACAGAGCATCTTCTGTGTGGGGTCACATTTAGACACTCCAGAACAACCCGATAAAACTGCTAGTCAATAACGGACACAATCGCCTACATTCTCTGGTGGCAGATCTAGACATGCCAGCTCCTTACCAATCAAATCACTTCAATATACACACCATCTTGCACGGATGTTGTTCTGGGTGTTAAACTTTTTATTGTTGTTATGTGTAAATTAATTTCACCTGAAGCACTTCATTTTGACTTGCTGATCCTCTCCTTCAGATCTGCAAATAAAATGATCCAAGTTCTGTTTTATCCATCTGCAAATCTCCTTATGACATTATGAAAGAATGGGTTCAAGCTTACCTGCTGAGGTCATCATCTATTTGGAAGCTGATGCTTTGCCTGTAAAACCAAAGAGAATTTTCACACTCCATAAGAAGTAACAGCCCATTCTACAGTAAAACATTTACGATCAAACATTTGAGTAAAATGACCCCAGGCTGAATTATCCTCAAAAACAGCACATCGTCTTCAGGAACTTGAGTCTCTGACCTTTCCTCTGTGTCTCCCTTTCGTTTCCTTTGTGTCCCAACAGCTGGCATCAAGGATCCTGCTTGGCTTGCCTCCTCCTCCTCCTTATCTGCATCATGATCTGATACATAGAAATAAGGGTGAGGACACTATGGATGAACAACCCAACTAAAACATCTGTAACAGCTCAGACAGATTTGTTTATACTCTGAATAAATGAATGAAGTAGACATTCAGCAGCAACATGGATTCTATGTAATGCAAATTTAAAAGCACAGAAATGGTTTACTGAAAAGAGGCAGGGCTTATTTTTGTCTTTAAAGCAGAACTGCATAGTTTGCTGAGAATTCAAGTGCTCATTTGTGCGTGAGCTGGCTGGGTTGCAGCAGCAAAAACATTTGCCTGCATGACTATAGACCAGGTAATAAATATTAATTTACCATTGTTATGTTTGAATTTGATAATATTTGAACATAAACTGTGTTGACTCAAGTTTACTCGAATGGTTTAGACCAGCGGTACTCAATAGGCGGCCCTCGGGCCACCTCTTTGTGGCCCCTGAACCCAGCATGCATGTATTTATAACTTAAAAGCAAGAACTGGACGTGTCCTATAGGTTTTCAGTGTGTTTTTTCAGATTATGTGAGTATTTGCAAAGCAGGTTTTTCTCAGACTGAGGTGTGACTGTTGAGTGAAGAAACAGATTTTTTTTTTTTTACTTTGTCAAATCTTCTTAAAAGTTTAAAATGTTTTGTCCTAAGGACTGTTGTGTATGGAGAGCTTTTGGGGGAAGGCAGGCTGTGTCAGACACGTTTTTGATTTTAAAAAAGCAATTATCTGACATCTTCTATTTATCGATGAAGACAAATCCATATGAAATAATCATGATGCATTGTGATGCATAGAGATATTGAATCGAATTCAATTGTTGACCCAATAATCGTAATCGAATCGGGAGACAAGTGAAGATTCACACCTCTAGTGTAGGAATGGCAGCGGTGTGCATGCACTGTGCTGCTATATTGCAGGCTGGTGTAATGAACCACCAGCAAACCTAAAACATATATATATATACATATATATATATATATATATATATATATATATATATATATATATATATATATATATATACACACATGAATATATATATATATATATTCATGTGTATATATATATATACATATATATATATATATATATATATATATATATATATATATATATATATATATATATATATATATATATATATATATACATGAATATATATATATATATGTATTTTTTATATATATCAGCCTTAATAATCAGCTTTAGATATCGCCCATTGGCAACAAAAATCTTTACAAATTGGTATCGGCATCGGCCTTAAAAAAAAACACATTGGTCTGTCTAAAACACACATCATTACTTTTCAATTAACTTGAAGTACAACATATGTGCGATTCAGGGCGTAAGGCAAAGTGGATTAGAAAATAGCTCTTTTGCCCCGTTGACCTGCGTTCATTGTTTCGTTATTCTTGGGACCCATGAGCCGACCGGAAAGGGAGAAAACTTAGGCTTCCATTTGTCACCAAGCTAACTAGTTAGTTTTACACTTTTTTCGTGAGGCTTTGTGGTGTTTGTGTTCACCTTGCTGAAGGACGAGGTAGGGTAAAGGGTACTCAAATAATTCTGGCATCGAACAAACACATTAGCATGAGTACGGAACGTTACAGAACACGCTCTCACAAGCACAACCTGAAGTTGTACCACACCAGACTCCTTCAAAATTAATGGAAAAGCAACCTCTAAATGCAATTGTGGAAAATATACTACATTCAATCATATTGTCAGGAAATGAAAAAACTGATTATAGGTTTACAAAAATATGACATAATGTAGCTTAACTCAATCAGCAATGTTGGATTCCCTTCTCTCTTAGTCTGCTGAAATACTTTAGGTCTAATTTCCAATGAAAAACTCCAACAAAAATACCCCTGAGAAGTAGGGCAAACATAGCTAATTTGATAAGTGCACAAAGTTTAAAGAATGGCTCAGCTATTGGCTTTCATGTTTTGCTGCTTCAGTGTTATAAGATCTGTTTGTCAGGTGCTTCTATGCAGGGGCGGACTGGGACATTATTTCAAGCCGGGAATTTTGAAACCATCCCAGGCCACCGCCCAATTCACGCTAAACACTAAAAGTGAGTCAGGTTGGGCGCCTACTGATGTAAAAGTGTAAAACAACTACATTAAAACTTCACATGTGCCCTGATTCTTTCCTCTAAAATATAAATATTTGTGTTCTGCTGCTATAATCTGTGCTTATGTTGCATAAACTGAAATTCTATTTTATTCTGTTAAACGTGCCTCCTGCACATGAGATGAAATAGGCCAGACACCATCATCCACCTGAACTTGAGACTAACAGGTACCAGACTACATGTCTGGATCAAGAGAATCACACCACAAGCAGAGACATAAAAAAGTGTGTGTGTGTGTGTGTGTGTGTGTGTGTGTGTGTGTGTGTGTGTGTGTGTGTGTGTGTGTGTGCTTTGTTGGGGGGGGGGGGGGGGGGGGGGCTCTCCCCATTGCTAAATTTTCCTCATAATATTCATATAAGCACCAATAATAATACTAGGGGTTTAAAGGCTATGGACCAAAGACAAAATATGCCAGAGGTGAAGGTTAATGCATTTAACAAGAAATGTCATAAATGATCATCAGGGCTGATGTGAAATCTAATCCAGATCAGTCCAGGTCAGAATTATCATCTCATCTGTCTCATGATCAGCAGCAACCGGATGTTTATGGCCACAAAATTTCAAGTGAAACACACTCCTTTTATGTCTTGTGTTGGCTCACGATCAATATTTCCATAGAAACTGTTTCTCCTCCGTGGATGTACCTGCCTGTCAAGAGCGTTTAGCCACTGGTTGGTCAGCTGGTGCTGCTGTCAGTCATTGTGGGAATGTGTACGTGTGGGGAAACACCTTTAATTCCTCTCCTCTGCCTGAGCTGATGGTGGCGCGCGGTGCACCTCGCGGCGGTGATGCGCCTTTTGCGCAAAATGCGGCCCTTCATGAAGCTCGTGCCAGACTGCGGATGACTGACGTTAGAGGACACACAGATATCTTTTCAAAAATCTCTGAGATTTCGACTAATGAATACCTGGAAAATTTTCCGTTACACACTGTACCCTAGAAAAGTGCTGACATGCTGAAAGGTTATATTTAGAAGTGGCGGCGGTGCTGGTACCGGTCCAATGCACTGATCTCTGTCCCTAAATGATGATCTGATCATCAGAACCTGATCATCATGATGCTGCGCGATAATTAAACTGGCCCAAAAACTCCACCTTAAACCGGTTCTCCCAACATGATCACATACAGGCCAGGCTGGACATCTGTGGCCAGAGCTTTCTTCTTTTTCAATCTCTCCTTTTCTGCTCCACCTTTCTTGTCCAGTCTAGGTCCATTTTGCCTCTGAGGCCAAAGGTGCGGTGGTGCTGTAGCCACTCTGGGGGTGGGGGGTGTCTGCAGCTCTTTGCCAGACCCCGACAAAGTGAGAGTAGGGGGTGTCTTTGTGCCCAGATAGCTCCGTTTGTGTGAGCATCAGGAGAGCAGATTGATGAGCTGCATGACGGATTGCTCATTTAGATATTACACACTTCATGACCGGCAATCACTGAGTGGGCCAGTTTAACGGCCAGGCCACCAGGAAATCTCCTGTTTCTCTTGATTACCAGTCCGCCACTGCTTCTATGGTGTCTGAAATAGAGTGATAAGCATTTTATTAGACCTTTACTGACAGTGACATTAAGTTTATTCGATGAGGCAACATTTGCAGTGTTTGTTCTTCTTTTCATCTCCAGTTAACCCTGACTCAATGTTGATCAACGTCTGGTCCCAATCCTGACTGACAGTGGCCCATTCTACATGGTTAGAGCTAAGGGTTTGTCAGAACTTGTGGGGTTTGGTTAATCTCCCTGTTTCTGGAGGATCAACCATAAAGGGATTAAAGTCAAGTATTTCCTGGACCAGGAGACATGTCAATGTGGTCTACAGATTTTATATTACATCTATCTGAATTATAACAAGTAAACAGCCCGTTTGTACCTTTTTTTTCAAGAGTTTTTATTTCTCTCATATTTTAGTCTGTTTAAATTATCGGTACTCAGCAGGCGATCCACGGGCCAAGTTCCTCTTTGTGGCCCCCCACAAGAGCATTGCAATCGGTAGACTTCTTGTTTGTACAATTAATAAATATTTTGATAATCTAATTTTCAATTGTTGGTGTTAGAAATAAAGAGTATGCATTATTATATGTATTTGTACTGTATGTATCGCAATTTGTTTTGGCAATTTTAGAGGTAAGTTTCGGTCCAGTGTTGACAAAATAGTCATAAAATGTATTGACAATATATATCGTTGTCATTAATTATATAATTTTGGAAAGCAGCATTTTTAAAATCCTTGTTAATTGCTTGATTTAACAGTCCATAATCCATTCTTAATATTTTAATTTCTTTCGATCAAATTTCTAAAGTATATTTTTTACATTAGTGAGTTTTTAATGTTTTTTTTTTATTTCAGGTTCTAATGTTCTCTTCTTCATATGTATTTTGTACAAAGTAATTTTCATTTTGCACGCATTTATTAGTGGTGTTTGTCAACCATGGACTAATTCTTTTTGTATTTGTATATGTACATGTTTTTACAGGACAATATTTATTATACAGTTCTTTAAATATGTCAACAAAATAGTTATATGCTTTATTCACATTAATTTCTCCAAGAACATAGTTTTGTTCCGAGAGACTTTGATTAAGAGCCCTTACTGAGAATTCGGATCTCGGTCTGATCTTCTTTCCAACTAAATCGCTTCTATTATTCATGTTCTTTCTAAATTCTAAAGATGCAAAAATTGGCAAGTGGTCACTGATATCATTAATAAGTAGTCTATTTGATATATTCATGACATTTGTGAAAATGTTATCAATTAAGGTAGAGCAGTGTGTTTATCATTTTTATTTTGATTTTACATCTGATAATTATCTAGTTTTAAATCCCCATATTTTTAAAATGATCAGAATTTGTGTGGAGGCTCCAGCAGTTTAGATGCGGCATATTATCGG